GGTTTAAGGTGTAGGGTGTAGGGTTCTTTCAGAATTATACAGACTAGGCCTGCACCACTTGGACGTGTCGAAGCATCCGAAAGCCATGTCTTGGACGGTCGGATCTCAGGAATCTCGCTCCAAGTAGCGACGGTGTGAGGGCTTCGGGTTGAGGCTTCTGTAATGCAGTATCATACCCCACAAACCTCGCCGCCATTCTATGCATGGGGTTCGAGACTACCTAGAAAGGGTCCTGTGCTCCTAGTCACCTGAGCTCTTGGGCAGTCGCACCGAGCAAAAGAGAACACCTGAATGACACAACAACGCCCAGCGTCAGCGTCTAAACCCAACATCTAAGCAATCCTGCACACCCAAGGCTCCGAACCGGAACCCTGCACCCCCGGCTGACACTGGCCACCCCTTTCTCATCCCCCACGCAAGCCACCTGAGGAGCATTGCCTTCGCGCCGCTGTGGAGTGTCACGTCTGACCAGCCGCCCGCCAAGCGAACCTACTAGGCATTTTCAGTTTTAGAGCTTACCCATAGGCCCCATAGTAGTTCCGATTTGGGGTTCATATTTAGAATCCTATAAGGTACCCCGAAAGGAACTACTATGGGACCTATGGGTAATGCTGTAGGATTCAAGGAGTTTCGACTTCGGGGTCCAGGCTTTCGTGTTCAGTCATTGCAGCATCCACCAAAGCAAAGGACTTCAAACAGAGTTTTTGGCTGTCGGTTGTAGAATCCATTTTCCCAACCTTCCCAACCACCGAACTCCGACATCCCAAGTAACAAAAACCACAACACATCCCAGCCTCCCCAGCCCGCAAGCACCAAGCCTTAAAAAGCCGGGAGCTGCCAAAGCAGAATTTCCCAAAAGTGCTCCAAACTCCCCGGCCCAAAACCCTGAACCTCAAAGCCTGAACCCTTAAGAAAAAAGCTCCAGCCTAAAACTTGCTCCTATAACTCGACCATGGCTGGTCCCAAAACCAACGAAAACGCCGAAACTGTTAGGTCATTTAGGGAAACCCCTAAACCCCCAAATCCTAAACCCGAAAACCCTAAAGCCCAAAACCCAAACTCGAAAACCCTGAAGCCCAAAACCTGAAAGATCCTAAAACCTAAACCCGAAAACCCTGAAACCCAAAGCCCGACAGCCCCCCAAACCTTAGACCCGAAACCCCTACACCAACAAATCCTGAAAGCCCCTAAACCTTAGACTCTAGACCCTAAACAACAAAAACCTGAAAGTCCCCTAAACCCTAGATTCCAAACCCAAAGCCCTAGACTCGAAACCCTAAACCCCAAACCCTGTAACCTTAGACTCTAAACCCAAGCTCTAAACCCTAAACCCTGAACCCTAAACTTTAGACTCTAAACCCTAATACCTAAACATTAGATTCTAAACCCTAAGCTTTAAACCCTAAACCCTGAACCCTAAACCTTAGACTCTAAACCCTAATACCTAAACATTAGACTCAAACCCTAAACTCTAAACCTCAGACTCGACCTGCACCGAATCCTCGGAGGTCCGGCAGGGCGGATGGGGGCCCAGCTCGCTGAACTCCGCCGATGCGGTGCGGAGGAGCGCCTTGAGCCTTTCAGGGCTCTTTTGGCTTTAGATGTTTAGGGTTTAGGGCTTTAGGGGTTTGGGGATTTAGGGGTTTAGGGTTTTAGGGTTTAGGGCTTTAGGGGTTTGGGGCTTCAGGGCTTTAGGGGTTTAGGGCTTTAGGGCTTTAGGGTTTAGGGCTTTAGGGCTTTAGGGTTTGGGATTTTATGGCTTTGGGCTTGCTGGGCTGGGATGGGGGCTGCTGGCTGGCTGGAG